ATCCGATCAGGCTCCAGAGGTGTTTGAACTTCCCCTCAGCCGAAGAGGTGGCCTTTAAGGAATCGCCAGCGCAAGCGCGGCAGCGTGGCATCAGCTTGTCCGGCAATAGCTGTGCAAAAGAGTCGCAAGCCTTTGATCTCTTGCGGCGCGAACTGGACTCGTCTCCGCATAGCGCAAACTATGAGATCTGTCGTTTGTCAGGAGCATCAAGGGCTGACGCGATCTTTCACCTCAGATCGGCAAGTATGGCATGTGGCACCCAGCTGCAGCTCAAGGCGGCAACAAGCAGAGGCCGCTTCGGCCGCTATCATGTTTTCCGAAAAACAGCTGGATACCATGGCATGTTGATTGTTTTCGTGAGTCTTGATCAAAATTGCTTTTGGGCCGTGCCGGGCAGTGATATGCTACTCAATTATCTGTCGCTCACAGTAGGCACTGACAGGGAGAAAGGATGGCGAGCACCGGATATTGCATCCGTTTTGGTCCGGTGTTTTCAGCTTGAAAAAGAGTACCCGCACGTTTCGCCGCAAGAAGCATTGCTACAATGTGCACCGAGCCACAGGACCGAGGCCCTTGCTCACAGAGGCTTTGAGTCCTTGCTGCGCAGTGTTGGCATCAAGTTGGCGCGCCCGGACATACATCAATCTTCAGTTGACTCTGTGCTGGTAGGCTGCCAGGCTCCAATTCGCGTGCAAGAAAAAGCTTGTCGGTTATCAAAGCAGGGTGTGTACCGTGTGCACTTATGCAGACACGCAGGCGCTCTGGGCCGTTCATCGTACGAAGAGGATGACTTTGACATGTTGGCTGCTTCAATTCTTGACCGGGATGAAATCACAGGCGTGTTTTTGATTCCTATGAGTGCACTTGTGGAGCATGGGTTCGTTGCTGACAAACCAAAAACCATGAGATTGTGTCCGCCATGGCTACCTCCTCAGCGGTCAAGCTCTAAGGTAAAGTATGCATGGCAGCAGCAGTTTTTCTTGGATCTGCGCAGTTGGCAGGATCGATCTGAGCTGCCAATGGCTTTGTGCCAACAGTTGTGGATGTTAATCTCGCCAGACAGCAGGCGAAGGTGACGAGTGACGGTCCTTGTAGATGAGCTGTCTTGCATGCACGCGTGGCAGTTCGACAGTTCGTGCGGCCCGGCTTGAAGGAATTTTCGGGTGTGAGAGGAACAGGTCAATTGCAGCGCTGGCAGTCTAGCCTCACAACTGCAACAGTGCCCAGCGTAGTAGAAAGTATTGCGAACCTCACACAGCAATGCCGCTAAATGGGGAGAGGCAAAGCCATGGAGGCAGCAAGGCGCCAACAAGTCTGCTGTTGTGCGAATGTCTGTTGCCATTGGAGGGGTCAAATGAACGTTTCTATACTTATCAAGAAAACCTAACTGGATTCTGTGGGCTTCTCTACTTGGGCCTCCCTTGAAGACAAGGCAATGCTCCTACGGAGCGAACTCAGAAGTTGAAGTGCAAAGGGCAGCAGTGCCAACCTTCAGATATGATTGAGAGTGTATGCTTTTTCGAATTCGCAGCTAACACCGGCCCCAGTAGTTCAACGCACTTTGAGCCTTCAAGCTCGCGCTGCGCCGCCATGCTGCGAATTCACAGCATCTCGGGCAAAGACGTCGCGCAGCTGAGTGCTGAAGAGTTCGATGCTGTGAGACTTGGCATGTCCTTCTTGGACGGGCTGTTTTTCTGTTATCCGGCGCACTGAAATGTTTGATGCCGCCTGAGGTCATAGTATCCCCCAGAAGGATTGACGCATAAGTTCGGGTTCGATAGGTCAGATAAGTATGATATTACACTTCACGAGTATCGTTCACTTCCTATCATCTTGCCGGACTTTGTCGTCCGCTGTTATCCCACAAGCGCGCAAACAAGCATGGCACGGAGCAGAGTGATGAAGAGCTTTCTGAGTAATAGTCACCCTCCGTCTTGAACACGTCACGAAGAAGGGCTCGTGGGTTTGAGTCCATTGCCACGCAGTTGCCACTGACCGGATAAGTTCGTAAGTCATCTGCTTAAATGGGGTTTCCGCAGATACGGGGCTCCTAAATGAACTTACAGTCCTTCTTATTATTGGTATTCCAAAAGAAGGACTCCTCTTGTTGGAAACGCTCCCATACCCTTGGTATGCGGCTTGGGCCGCCCTGTATGCTCGCCACCCCATGGGTTGGGTGTACGTTAACAGCAAATAATACCTGCGGCTCTAAGTCTGTAGATAATGCTTACATTGGGCCCTGAAGTCCATAACTATTACCTATGTTGGGCTCCTTGGAGCCTTGAGGATACTCCTTTCAGTTTCGCTCGGGTGTAATTTCTCGTTTCTCACACTACTTTACATCCACGCTCAGGGCATGACATTAGAAGAGGATCGGTCTTCAGAAGAACTGCGCTTGTTCTTCTCTTCCTTAACAAGGCCCTTCAGCGGGAGGTTTAGAAATCCAGCAAGAGGAAACTCCAAACCCAAATCTCGCACCGCACACCCTAAAGCCATGGAACCCTTATGAACCCAACCTGCCGACTTTAAGGACAGCAGACTCCGACCAGCCCATCGTGGCCTTGAAGCGACATGGCAGTGTTGCAAGGTATGGTGTTTTTGGACACACCCTGAGTGAACACTCTTGCCCAGGGTGCATGGCAGGAGGGCCACATCGGATGTTATCCATCTGCCCAGCACAAGCAAGTTTCTTAGTGAACTCTCGCGCGTTTTTGTATCATACGTCTACCTACATCCCGGTACCTTGATGACCTCACAATCCTTCACAGTGCCAAGGATGATTGCTAATGTCACTATTCTTGAGAGGGTGTTGGACTAGTCTCATAGTCGCCATGTAAGGTCTTCCAGAAATATAGAGCCGATGACACCCCCAGAGCGTTGTAAGAATCCGTTCGGAGCTTTTTTCGTAGCTTTGTATATGCCCGGGCTATGTTGAAATTGTTGGGCCAGCTCCCCAAACCGCTGATCTCCCTGATCCCAAGGCGCCATCTCCATAACAATCTGGGCGGCCCTTCAAGGCTGCTGCCTTGTTTTCGATAGGAAGTCCCGAAGATGTTGGGGCGAGGTTTGAGGGACGTGTATAGGGTCTCGAACTACTCGTTAGCCACGATGACCTGTGCGCCACACTAGCATAGCAGGTGCCATTCTGGAGCTTGACGAGTACTCGTACACATCCTCAGGGGCTGGCCACAAGCGCCATGCTTCAACAGCTGATCTGATTGTTGCGACTTCTCGTACAGAAGGGACAGCAATTTGAAGCTAAAACCTCCAAGACCTCGATCCGGAAGTCCCATGATGTTCTCCCTGGCGTCCCCGAACCCCAAACTCTGCAACCTGGTTCCGAATCCAGATCGCTGAAACTTTCCGTCCTTAATTCCTGCAGGTTTTGCCAGCAACTTCTACTAGGGTCCGAAGTGCTGGAGGATGATTCGGCCTCGCCCTTAACATCTCCGCAGCCGGGGATGAGGATGTGCATTTTTGGGTAGGAAGCCTTTGGGGCTTACGCGGCTTGGTTCAAGGATTCTTGACCTGTGGCATGGCTCAGGGCTTTGTAAAACGTTGGGTGAGAAGCGTGTTGAGCATCTCCTGCGTGAAGTTGTGCTGCAGCTTCTGAGCCATTACTGTAACTAAGTATCAGGTATAGCCCCCTGAACTGTATTCAAACCATGTTGTAGGTGTGGCCACAGTCCTGAAGCCTCTACCTGGCTGTACCTCATGTGTAGCTTCGAGGAATATAGTTCTTCATACGTCATGACACAGTCACATGCCAGCTCAAGAAGGGTGTTGCTTCTGTGTAGCACCAGCAAGAGACAAGCCGGACGGCAGAGAACTTCTCGATGTATCGGAACTTGCCAGAGCTCAGGAACTGGAGCTACCAGCAGACTTGCAGCTCGTCGTGTTGCCGCCACTGGCCCAAACATCGCGCAAACCGAAGCAGGTGTAGTAAGGGATGACTTGCCTAAAGGCTCCTACCTGGTTCCTTATGGGGTTGGTGATGGTCTGTAGGTACGGGCTCTTTGCCGGAAAAGCCTGATGGCGTACTCCTAGTGCATAAAGCTCTATTTCGCCAGCTTTCGGTTTTCCGGAGTTTAGGGTTACGGCTTTAGGGTTTAGGGTTCCGGGCGGAGGGCAGGGCGCTACATGATCCTTCAAAATGTTCTGCAAGAACTGCAAGCCTGAAGCCTCGTAACTGAACTTGGACGTTGGTCTCAAGCCCTAGACCCCTACGTGACCCCCAAAAGTAGGTGAAATACTAGTACCAAACCCACAAAGAAGCCGAAACAAGACATTATTCCCCCTGTCTTGGGGATTGAGGTAGCCCCAAACAGAAAGAGACTTCCCTTATGTATCCCTATACCCCCTAATACCCTTTCAAGTTCAGTCAGGTAAAACTCAACCCTAAACCCTAAACCCTAGCCCAGGTATCGCCCCCCGACTCCGAGGCTCAAGCAAGAGCTTGCATCTTGGTTTTTACTGGGCTTACTATTCTTAGGGTTTAGGGTTTTGAGATTATATGGTTTAGGGTTTTGAGGTTTACGGTTTAGGGCTTAGGGTTTAGGGTTTAGGGGGTTGAACGGTTTAAGGTTTAGGGTGTAAGGTTTACCGTCTAGGGATGTGATCCCCAACAATGGAAAATCAAGCGGAAAAGAAAAATGATGGCAGCTGGGGTCTACACTAGGGGTTGAATTTCTCTGCTCTGATTAGTACGGGATTAAGAAATGGCACATGAAATGGAAGCTACTGTACTGTTGCAGGTTACATGGGGACAAGTATAGGGTCCGTTGCTTCATTTCTGTGAAGCCCAAAGATGGACCGCAAGCTTGAGATCTCACCATATGTGTTCACAGTCTAGGGGACAGTGCAGCTGGTTAGAGGACTGGAAATGAGGGTACCCTCCCTGATGCTTGGCACATATGGGGGTTCCTCTTTGTGTACCCCTATATACTACATTCTCCCCACAAAGGGTTTCAACGGTAGTGACGACAGATTTGCAAACCCAGGAGGATGCCATCACGCAGAACGGAGTTGAACGGCTGGAGGAAATCCTGGGCGACCCGCAGAATCCGCACCTCGGCAGAGCCCTCAAGTCTAAGGACCATAGATACCTTGAATTGTAGGTATTTGGGAAGTCTATGCGGCGGAGGACTCCCAGCTTAAGAACCTTGAGAAAATTCGGGGCGGGGGATTTTGGGAGTCAGCTTCTGGCCTGTATCGATGTTTCAGGATGGAAAAACCTTTACATAAGCTTAACCACGTGGAAGGCAGTCAAAAAGTGTTGCCAACCAAGCCCTCCTTCACGACCAAGACATGCGGCAAAGGTCTAGCACCACTATATCTCTTCACGTAAACCCGTATAAGCTCTCAGCGAGAACGGCTAGGACGCCCTCAGAGTTCCAGGAGGCACCGGGTTTGCATTGGGTCTCCCTATGTTTGGAAAGCCGCCAAATTGGGTGCGAACCAGAAACCCTAAACCCTAAACCGCGGGGTTCAAATGCTGATCCCTCAAAGCCCCCAAGCGCTGAGGGAGTTCCGCCTCCAACATGGCCGCACGGGGCTGGCCGTGGCTGCATCCAAAGGCCTTGCAAGGGTTTCAAGAATTGACGCTGCAAACTTCAGGGGCATGGGTACACAGTTTAGGGTTGAGGGTTTAGGGTTTTGCGGTTAGGGTGTTGGGCTTTCGGATTTTAGGCCTCAAGCCCTAAATCCAAAATCCTAAATCCCAAAATCTAAAACCTGAACCTTCAACCCTAAACCAGTTTACTGGCTTCAGCTCAAAGAGTCGTGTGTATTGAGATTTAGGCCTTTGTGATGCAGTCCGTTTCATCCGGCCAAACCCCAGCAGGAGTCTGATTCGATTCTCCGTTGGACTTCTGCATGCCTATCAGAGACAACTGTTATAGGATAATTGCAACTTTGATGATACTTTGGGGACCTCCCCCCCCCCAAGAGGAGGCTCCTATCGTTGCGGTGGCTATGCTTTGAGGAACATCCTTTTCACCATGCACCAATCATTCACGGTTCAGTTTGCTTCGATTACCCCTAACTAGTGGCCTAGCGGTTAGGACTTAGGACATCGAAGTTGTGCTGCTTCTGCTGCAGCTGCAGCTGATTCTCCTCTTCCTTTGCTCAGTGCTGCTTGTGCGATACTCGAGCTGTACAGCCAAGGCCATCTCGAGTGCTTCTCGCTGCTGCTTGAGGCCGGTGAGACTCCAAGGTTTGGGTTTGCCGGCTGAGGGTGGTTAGTTTAGGTTCTGGTATTTAGCCTGCCTCTGGCTTCAGAGGTTGTGATGCATGTCCAAAGCCATACCAACCAGGCAGGCCGCTGAAGGACTTCATCCTGAAGACGTTTCCATCGCACCTGTAGATCTCAAAGCGGCCCCCAACAGAGGCATTCCGGAGGTCCCAAGCCCGATGACACATTTCTCCCGTCAAGAAATCGAGCGCCTAGAATGGCAGGTCGACATCGCACTCCAGGGGTAAGGGTTTGAAGTTTCAAGTGCTCGTAGAAAGCAAGGATTGTACGGATCCGATGTAGGGATTTGCAGTAAGGCTGCAGGTGTAAGACGTGAGTTTAGGTGAGGAGTTAGTGTGTTTTAGCTTCTGCCGTATTTCCACGGTTAGGCACAGGTTGGTTTGGAGCCTCGTAAGATTCAGCCCCTGCATGGAAAGTTGTGAATTTGAAGATGAAGCTTGTGAGTTGCAAGAGCCTGTAGTGTTTTCTTCGCATCAGCATGTATCTAAAGCGCATGTCACTTTCTATGTGGCACTATACACCCTTAGCGGCTTTGCTACCGAAACCTGTCGAAACGTCCTTGGCAAGCAGGGGAAACCCTGTGACCCACCTACAGAGCCCTCGGAAGCTCATCAACTTTCAGATATTCACATGAGTACACCTCAAGCCCTGCACCTTAACCATGTGTACTATAGTCTAAACTCCTTAAAGGGGGTGATATAGGGGATTATATAGGGAACTACTATAGGGGTTATTAAGGGGGATACTAGGAGTTCAGACAATGGCTCATGTGGCTCGAAGGCGCGCGCCGACTTTGAGAGGGCCGATGACTTTGGCCTGAAGCCGCTACACTTGGCAGCCACAGGGGACCGGCAAAACACAACTTGAAAAGTCCCCATAATCCCTATATTTTAGCTTAATAATGGAGAATCAAATGGAAAAGAAAATGGAAAATGAAATGGAAACTGGGATTATAAGGTAAGGGTGTGCCGGGCTTGGTCCACGGGGAGTATCCATACAGAACATAAGTTGGCCCAGAGGCGATCCTATCCGGTAACTTTGAGGCCCAACTATGTTACATGTGGGTACTTTGAACACGGGTAAGGCGGTTGGGTGTTTACAGTTGTGTTGGATGTGAGGATTGTAGGTGGATCAGGTTGCAAACTTCCAGGCCTTGCTTCGTCTGGAGGCTGATGCAACGAGGTTATTTGATTCAGGGCTCGGGGTTGGGTAGCGGGGTGGTATACCTGTTGGGAGATGTGAAAATTCTCAGGCAGTACGGAAGGTTTGTTGGTACAGGTGCAAAGGGATTGCAGAGGAACCAAAGAGCTGCGAATCCGTCGGGAACTATGGGGTCCTGTGCTGGTTGTCATTAGGAATTCCCTTGTATTTGAAAAGCTGCTTGACGGACACTACTATCCTTGCGAACCCTACCCTAAACCCTAAACCCCAATTCAAAGCCCCCACCAAAGGTTGGTTTTTTGAAAACGTTTCTGCTGCGAGGACCACCGGTCTGTGGCCCGTTTCCTCCTGAGTCTGCGAGCCAACACAGAAGCTCGGGCGGATTTACTTGTTTTGACGGAATATATATATATATATATCAGTTTAATATAGAGTTATATAGGAACAATGGAAAAGAAATTGGAAACTACTATAGGGTTTAGGGTCTAGGGCTAGCAGGGAATGGATTTACTTGTTTTGACCTCAGGGTAGTTACATTTTTGAGGCTCTGGACTAAGCTCAGAGTCTGGATGAAGATTGCATCTTCTTGCGTGTTTAGTACGTAAGCTTGGGCACAGATGAACGGCAAGATTTACCTTGCAAAGCCCTGGATACTGCGCGCCATGGTTTTTCGAACGGAACCAATAGAATCCATCATGGGGATCCCCATTTTTTTGTGCAGTCCCTACACCCTTATGGCCCCCGAAGCTACCTGCCCCCTCTTTTTCATAGCACCTTCCACCTTCATCTCTCTCAGAAAGTGCTTCGACACCCAGCAGAGGAAGTTGCCGACCGGGAGCGTCGCACCCCCATGCATGCAGCTGCTCGGAAAGGACACTGCGCAATGGTCAGCACCTTGCCCTGAGGTTTTGGGGTTGGGATGGGGGGTTATTGTTTATGGCTTGGGCTTCGGGTTTCGGTGTTGAGGGCTCCAGGAATTTGTGCAACCTAGAAGGGGCAGGGTTTAGGACCCAGGATACCTTCCAAAAGCAAAATGCACCCTCAAACGCCACCCTGTTTGGACGGCGTCGTTTCTTGAGAAAGGTCCCTGTGATTCAGTGATTCCATGTGACATGCCGGATGACCATGTGCTGCCCCAAAAGCTACCCTGCAACAACAGGAAGTACGACAGAGCTTTCCGATTCTTGGCAGCGTATCAAATATATTGTCAGGAATCTAGCGTTTTGCGCATGTCCTTGACATGCTGTGCAGAGTGCTGCAAGCTTTACGTTGTTCTTCTATGGGCGTACAGTCGGCGCACAGGGGACAAGCCGAGGTTGGTGCCGCGCGAGAATTGTGACCTTGAGATTCTGTTTTAGCCTATATCACGTCCGATACTTGGAGTTGCGTCAGCACCTTCCCGAAACATGGCCCCAGTAGTGCAATTTCATGACATGTAGGAACAACGAAGTCCTGCTTACCCGAGTCGTTCCCCCCAAGACTTCCATATCTTTGGGGCGCTATCCGTCCTGCATAATGTGGTTGCTTTCAGCAGAAGAGTTCCCCCACGGAATTCCCAAAAGAGCCTTTGCACTCGCAATGGTCCACATCAAATTTCGATCCGTTCAGGCGCACCCCTAAAACCCTAAACCCCCAGACCCCTAAACTCATACACCCTAGACCCCAAAATCCCTAAACCTTTAAGCGCTGCACCCTAAGTCCTAAACCCTGAAACCCTAACCCCCTCAACCCATAAACCTTTTCAGGTGCACTCTGTGCTGCTGGCGCCTGCCACAGTCCGTGTGACGCCGCCGGGGCCACGCCTCTGTACGAGGCCTTCCAAATTTGCCTGGTAGTAATAGTAAGAATAGTACTACTAATAGTAATAGCCAGATGAATCTTAGAAGGGCTTAGTTTTGCAGAAGTGATGGGCACCATGTACCTCATTTTGTCACATGCCTAACGGGGGAAGTTGAGGCTCAAGGTTACATCAGCTTCAGAGGTTAGCTTCCTGATTACAAGTTTGGAGGGATGGGTACTTTCCGCTGTGTTTCTTGCATTCCGTTGTTTAATTGTCTTCGTGCGTCAGGGCTTGGTTATCAGGGATGCTGTGGCCAGAAAGTGCATGATAAACGGCCTAAGAGGCAAGAAAAAAAATAGCTAGACCTGCGACATGCCCATGATAATGGACTTCCAACCCAACAAACTGTATAAATGCTGGTAGATCTGGGTAAACCATCTAACCCCTAATTGTCCTGTGGCCCTTGAAGCCTGAACCCCTATCAACCCTGAACCCCAACCCTGAAAAATCATCAACCCTGAAGCCCAACCCACCAATCCAAAGGCCTCTGCGATGGGTTATGCGGCTGTAATCGAAGTGCTCCTGAGCGTCAGAGCCGACATTGACCAGCAGGTGACTCGTCATGTGGCGCAGGGCGTGCAGAAGGTACAAGGGGTGAGGGTTTGGCTTTAAGGGTTTGAGGTTCGGGTTTGCTTGGTTCGAAGGCTGGATGTTTCATGCGGTTGCTTTCAACACCCTGGGCTCGGCAGTGAGTTCATTACCTGCATGCAGGTTTGAGCCACCCTACAGTCACAGGCCCAACAACCTCCTCATCTCAGTTTTTATGTGAGTACTAATAAGTTTAGACAGCGTTGATCAGGAACGCAGCTGAGCTTATAGATAGGGGAAGAAATCCGTGGGCCATGTATGGATGTATGCCACAATCTGGCTTGAGGATGGCGTTGGGTCGTCCTGCGACCTCGCATGGGTAGTTTTGAAAGTTGAGGATCCGTGATTGTAACCCCCAACTACTGGGCAAGGTAACATGTTGGAGGAAACCCACATGATTCAGAAAGTCTGTCTTTGCTATCCAGACCTGAGTGCAACAACAGCCCAATTTCCAAGGGAGTGCTGCAAAGGCATCATTTGGGTTGATCCTACACCGTGTCACCTACATTCAAGGACGCCGGGTTCCCCTACCCAAGGGCTCCCAGATGGTTACTGTGTGGCTTGTTGTGGATTTCGCTGGGGGAAGACTGTATACCACCCACAAAGGAACGACACAGGAGCTATAGTCTAAACTCCTTCAAGGGGGGTTATATAGGCGATTAGATTGGGGACGATTACAGGGCTTATTAAGGGGGATACTACTGTAGGAGTTTAGATTACAGTACACATGAGGCCCTGGGTAAACCTTGAGCCCTCACCGATGATGAACCTTTAGCCGCTAGCCGCCGAGCTGGGAGTTCATGAAGTTGTGGCGCGGCTCAAACCATAGGAGGACCCCCCACCCTGTAATAGTGGCATTTTAGGAATATAGTAGGATCCGAATATAGTCCTTATTGGTCACTATTACAGCGAGGGGGGGTCCTTCTAAGACAGACTCCTGCAAGTGGCCCCCACGATCCCTTTGTACTCTGTCTAGGTGTATTTGCATGTAGATAAAGACCCCAATGGGCCCCGCATACAAGTAGACTCAATCGACAGCAGTGCTCAGGCTAAAAACGGCCTGTCTCCCCTTCACATTGCGGCAGAACGAGGCAGTTACCTAAAACTTCGCCTACACCAAGGGTTCAAGTGCTCAAGCACATACGTCCCCCAAAGCCTGCGCTGAAATCGCTATTGTTCCAAAATCCCAATTACTCAACTATTGGGTGCATGGACCCTTAGGGCTGCTTCTTATCATGTCGAGTTTCGGGTTTGATAGGTTGATGGGGTTCTTGCAAAAAGGTTACTGGGGTCATACCTGACTAGCACTTTGAATGGACATTATAGCCTGCAACAAATTGCAAGCTTGCTGTCAT